CACTCATTCTATAATGACATCCCATAGCTAAGACAAAACATTTTTTTTCCTTAAACTAAGAATCTTCCAGTCAGCTGGGGAAGTGGCGGGGGGGAGGGGGGAAGAGAAGGGATGTTGACAATAATTTTTAAAACCCTGAAGAAGAACCTTGTTAATTAGCCCAGTTACCCATTTAAACATAACGTATAACAATTTCTGTTCAAGAGAGGTTCTGTTCAAGAGGGCAAAATCAACTTCATGCATTACTAATTAAAAAAGTAGAAGAAATCATGGTTTGATACTATCAGATATCCGGTGTTTAGCTGCATTAGTACTATGAAACACAGGCAAAATGTGTGCAGCCTAACTACAATCCACCGGAAAAAAAGTAAATTATAACTAGTTACTGACAATTTAATTTCATTGCATTCTATCAATTAGCTGTGCCTCATGCTTGACCTTGTGATCACAGCAAGTCATGTTATCTCATGCTTTGATCTGTATGGCATCATTTGGGGGTGAATACACTTCTTACAGCTCAGTGGCAATGAGCTCTTTAATGCAAATATTGCCAACTCAGGAAAGTGATATTTCAAACTGTCATAATGACTATTCAGTCAAGTCAGTTTTATAACACATGAATACAATGAATGGATAATAAGAACAATGCCAAAGGTGCAAAATTACTTCAAAGGCTCTTCTTCACATCAGCTGTGAACAACAGGAAGAATCCATTAATGCAATTTCCACATATAAAGAATACAACAGGAACAATAAGCTATTTTATTCTTCTCTTTGTATTCTTCCTTCTATTCATAAAGAGCAATAGCTAAATAGAAACAAGCATACATGTGAAACAACATTCACATGTTGCTGGGAAAGATAACTAGCTCTTGCTCAAAAAATTACCCCTGCTGTGGTACAAATGTCTTGATTATACTGAACTGCCTGCTCTTGCTGAAAGTTGCATTCCTCAAATAATGCCATAATATTAGTTCACTACTATAAGATTTTTCGTGTCGGTATTTAAGGCACCAAAAATAGATTGTTTAGGTCTCAGTCTTTAGGCAAGGGACTCCAAATCATGGTTAAGGAGGTTTTAGGAGAGATACAGAGTTGTACACTATGACCTACTGGCATACTTTGTTTTTCAGCACCAATGAGATAGTAGCAAGGAGGAGAGTAGAGGCTGTAGCAGCAGCTTTTGAATTACCAGTTTACAGGTTGTCATACGAAGGTTAAGTATTGCCAATTTTATGCTAACACCATATGTCAAATTGTAAAGTGTCTCCACACTGAACTCACAATATAAGCAACTAAGCTCCTTCAGCTGAAGCAGGAATCTTTATAGCTATCAAGAACAATGCAAGCTCATTCAGGACTCAGATTCCCACAGACAGATCAAAGTACATCGGGATGTAAACACCAATGAGGTCATTTGTTTGCAAACCATTCTTACTGCAAATAAGGTTTAATCATCTAATTTCAGAAAGTGCCTTGAAAAAAACTGCAGTCTAACAGTACAAAAACCCCCCTCCTACTCAGCTTGCCCTTCACTTAAATAAAAAACAGTCAAAACTGATGCAGTCCTCTCTTATCATACAAACAGCCCTCAATTCTGAGAAAAATTATGGAGACATCTGGGATGACAGGAAGCATCCCTTCAAGGCAGGGCTTTGGTACAGGCCATCCAAGCCTCCACATACATGGCCATGTAATTATTTAGCATGTTAAAGTACACTACGCTCAATGAATTCACAATTTCATAATACCCGCTTGTTCTCCATAACACTGCCACTGAAAATCTGTAGGATTGCAAAGAACACAGCTGCCAGGAAGCATAACAGGCATAGTACATATATAATTACTATACATATATATGTATTTGGGTTACAATGCTACATCATCACAATTTCTGTATTTTCCTCATATGAGACACTGAGAGACAGGTCACATACATGCTTTCAGATGGTGTTAAGAAAAGCAAGATTGCTGCACAGCACCAGTTTTAAGATAATGGTGATTACCCAACAGAGAACTATCCACAACCTTCCAAATAAGATGATTCTAAAAAGACAAATTGCTATCAACTAAATATTAAAGAAACCTAAGAGTCCAGGTGACAGGAGTTTCTGATTACTCATTTCAGTTTAATGTTCATTTGCTTAGTCCAATATAGTAGCAAGGAATTTCCCACATAAGAAGTATATGAGGTTAGCTTTCTTTCCCAACATCATCCAGTTTCCACATGCTTTCAACAGAAGGCATATTCACCCCTATGTAAGAGCTTCAATGGCTTTCCAAACCTCAGTTAAGTACTTAATGTGAGTGGTAATGTGAATAGCAGTACAGCGCAGCTTTACAGAATTGATGTCCTGAGAGCCAAGGGACTGAGCAAGCCTAGTGAAATAAGCAGACTTTTTCTGTTAACTTACTAGCCTCTGAACAAGGGAAAGACTACAATTACTTTAGAAATTCCACATTGTTAGACACTTCTCTACATCATATATGTGCAACTTATGTTTCCATTTTCATTAGTTGAAAAAAAGAAGATAAAGACTATTTCTTAATCCTTTGTTTTCTCCTCAATGCATAGTCTTGATTTTTTAAAAAAATCTGCAATTCTGTATTTTATTACATGAACTATAAAATGCTGATGTGCACTCTATTGTCCATGCCAACCTATGCAGATTGCATAAATTCACGTCTGCGCTCATTTCTACAAACTTACGTTCTGCAGCTATGCAGCTTTCAATTTATCCACATTATTTCCCCAATCATTTGAATACTGTTGCCATTTTGCTAATGTTGCTAAGATACCAGGCTTATAAATTCTTCCAGTCCCACAGACTTAAAGCACGCTATATTTTTTAAATAGGGGATCCTGATTTTGGCAGGGTTCACCTGCTAAAGCACAGAGCTAGACCTGAGGCCTCTGCATTCACATCATGCTCTGGAGGGCTGCAGTGCTGAGAAGTGTGTAATCTTCCAGTTACTGGGGGGATCCTGCCCTTCCTCAGGAGGTGAGAAATGTTCCATGTTGTCCATATTGAATCCATCTGTACTTGGACTTAATGGAACAAAACCACAGCAAAAGAATAAGAGTATTTAAATAATAGTAATAATAAAAATGCTAAGCAAGAATTACAAAATGGGCACATGCAAGAAAGCCCTTGTTTTATCTTGTCAATGAGATTTGCTGTATAAAAAACACAGAAGAAAAAACACCTCATTTGGACACCTAAGGAATGAGAAACACAGATGTTCACCTCCTGAATGGAAGTTTATGTGTAACATTTTTCTAAGTATGTTCTTACCACCCAAAAAAGTAAACTAACATCAGATTCTGATCTACCAGTAAGATATTTATTATGATTTGCTGTACAATAAAACATTTTCCTTGTATGGAGACACATAAACCACCATTCACTTGAACAAAATAATAGGGCTTATTGCTGCCTCTTACAGGGAGTCCAGAACTGGGGCAAGCAGGGAAGTCATTAGCAAAAAATTAAAGTTCCAGGAAAGAAAATACATTCATATTTATGTACCAACCCACATTCTGTTACTTCAGTGTTAGAACAAGATGGGAGCTGCAGGCAAGTGCAGCAAGTAGCACTGATTTTGACAATGCAAACAAAACAACCAGCTCATCTGTTTGGACTCAATTTATGGATCTGATTTCACAACAAGTAAAGGGCAGAACAGTGGCTCTGAAACTATATATTTTACTGTAAACTCATTTCTCCTTCATTCTTGAAGTGATGGAAATTATTTATATGAGCAATAACTGGAATAGCCTCAGAACAGCTTTCAGTACAGGTTGTAAATATTATGATAGACAAGCAAGGCACTCACTTTATTAGAAGTGCCAGATACTTAGAATAAAGAATTATACACAGAAGCTAGCTGTTCACCTAATAATTTCCCAGCTCTTAAGCACTGGACTTTAGCATGCTGGTGTTGTCCAAGTAATGTGCCAGAAGGAATATGTAGATTGAACGTGTGCTGGCTTGTGATACCTGTATTGGTATAGAAGTTAACCACTGCACATTCAAGATATCTAATTAGAAAGAAGGAATACAGGTGAGAAGGATGCTTATAATGGTATGGCACAACCATCTAGTACAGTGCCAAAATCCAACTGCTAAGTGCAGCAAAGGCAAAATATATGGAGGAAAAGACACTGTGAGGAAGGAAAACAACGAAATGCTAATGAGAGAAAAGGAAAAGACAGTAAAAAAGCAAAAAATACAGGAAGCAGAGGTTGATTTTAAACAAAGTGAGAGGAAGTGACCAGAGTCGACATTTAACCAAGTTTAGCATCTTTAACAGGAATTACTTTCTTTCCTCCTTCAGTTCACCTCTTTGACTACTGCTAAATGAATGTTAACACTTTCACTGCCTGAACTGTTTTCTTAAACTAAAAAGCAAGAGCTTCCCAGTTCTTTCTTCTTTGTATTCCTTCAGTGCTTTTATAGTGTTCACTGTAGAAAGTTTTCTTTACAACTTTTTATCTAGTCAAAAATTCAGCTCACACTGTGCATTCTGTTGCTTCTAACAACACTCCTACTTTTGGCTTTTGCCTCTGCTTTACAGAGGTGAAGCTGAAGGAATCAGAAGAGATTCATCTCTAGAAGTAATGATTAAAACAGCCTGTTAATTTTTGCATCAAAGAAACATTGGAGACATTGAAACTTCCAAAATCCCACTGCAGAGAAGACCAGGTACCTGCAGAATAGCCATCCTTTTACTTGACAGCAAGTTTTCATTTGCCACAGCATGTTAATATCTGCCCTGTATCAGAAGTCATCCCACACAATGTAATTGTCAGGCGAGCACACAGAAGAATGCTCAAGCCCTTTTAGGTTGAAAGCCTCTCTCTGAAGGACAGATTACCTTAACAGAAAAGGGTCAGATTTGCTCATATAAAACCAAAACAAAATAAAACCAACAAAAAAAAAACTCCACAACACATAAAAACACAACCCAGAGAAACTTTCAAGCTGAGATTAACTTACCAATGGATGCATCACCATCCAAGAGATTGTCATCTTCAGAGGTCTGAAAATCCATAATTACACCTGCTCCATCTAAAAGCTCCTCATCGCTGCTTGCACTAGTTATGCTGTTGTAACTGTTTCGATAGTAGCCTCTATGAAACAGCTGCTCAGACTCCATTTAGCTGCTTTAGAACCTGCATGTATACACAAAAAAAAAAGTTATTTCCTATTTGAATAGTCAAAAAACACTAAGAAATTTGTATCAAAGTAAAATGAGTATTATAGGCTTTGGAGAAAACTTTTTATGGTGACAGTACTACTACAAGTTACAAAAAGGTAGCAGCAATACAGAACAAATATAACCAAACAGAAGAACAGAGAGTAAAGCAGGATATCTTACCTGTTATGACTAGAGAGAGCAAAGAAAGCAATGAGCACTTGGGCATAGCATATAGTGGGAAATCTAATTAAAGAGAGTGCAGGCAGGAAGTACAGTGGCAAAGGAGAACAGTGAACAAACAGCTACATTAATAGCAGAAAAAGCATGGAAGGCTGCGCAGCTTTCTGCAGTCTGGTACCACAGGCACTGTTCTGCTCTCCAACGTCAGAATCCTGCCCCTCTTTCAAGCTCTACAACTAAAAGGTCAAGCACAGAAGCAAGTCAGCTGAGGGAACCACTTCCAGTGCAGAGACGTGCCTATGGAAAAGGCAAAATAGGCCAGTAAAAACCCAGATTTACAAGACATTTGCTGACAGCTGATCCAAGCAATCAGTAAATCTCTAGAATGTGCTCTGTGATCCCACAAAAACACTTTTCTGTATCTCAAAGAAAAAACAAAAAAGGCAGCTAAGGCTTGTTATTTTCCCAGAAGGGAGGTAGAGTGAAAACTTTAAAGTACTCTTCCAGATTACAAATTTGCTTTAAATAGTTCAAAATCAAAAACAACTAAAAAACCCCAACAACAAAGAACCCCACAAACACAATCAACACAAAAAACCACAAGCCAATAAAAAACCAGAATGATTGATCTTAACAAAAGAGCTCTTTTTCAAACTAAGAATTACTTAAAAATTACTTAAAATTACTTGAAAAATCAGTGTAAAATTCAATTTTTCTGTTCAGTACTAACTACTAAGCTAAAAGGCAGTCATTTGTCCTCTCACTCTCATACATCTTCCAACAAACCCTACTAGAGTACAGCACTTAGTGAGAATGCTATGCACCCATGAAGCAAAGAGAGATGTAAAGAAAATTATCAACACAAGCTTTACACATAAGAATATAGGAGAGAAAAGTGGTGACAGGAACCAAAGAGCAATTTGCTGAAAAATTCTGCCAGTTAACTGAAGCTATTTGAATTTTAATACAAAAAAAAAAAAAAAAAAAAAAAGAGTTTATGTAGTAGATTCCCAGTGCCTTGAAATCAAGACAAAAAGTCAGTTTCCAAAAATATCCATAGGTAAAGCTTATATTAGTTTCCTTCACAGCTGCTTCCAAGATAAAACCAACATGTATGGAGGAAAGAGACCTACTCAAATATGAACAGAACATAGACAACCACATGAAAAGATAATATTTGTAAAGCACAGTCTTAGCTTTAAAACTGCAACAAAACCTCTCAGTATTCATATTTGTGTTCTACTGAATCTTAACAATCTTAGTTAAAAACAATATAACAACAGCCTGAAAACTTTCTTCATTTTTATGACAAATACCAGTAGAGAATATCATCACCATAGACCTGATCTTCACAAAAGCAGAACCTATAATAAATACTCATTTTGATACTTCTTTTTATCTCCTCTAGCTTTAAAAAAAAAGAAAAAAAAGAAAAAAAAAGGTAGTCAACAAGAAACCAACTAAAACCTGATAGTATAAAATCACTGGATGAATAGCAAACTCATGCTCCTGGTCATATGATGACAAACATTAAGGGCATTGACTTTAGTTTGTATAAATTATTCAAAACCACTGCATTTCCACTCCCTAAAATGTCATAACTAGGAAGATTATGGCTACCCATATTGTGACAGCTGAAGAATTATACCCACTGGTACAAAGATATCAGCCTACCTGATGGAAGGCATTGCTTCTTTCACACCCAGTCACTAATGGGAGTACTTTTTAATGGCATTTCACATTTACCAAGTTACTAATGTGAATACTTTAACAGCATTCAACCAAAGCAGCCATGAGTGGTCAAGTCTGGGAGGGGTTTTCAGCCAAGAGTTTAAAAAGAAGGAGAGAAGAGAAAACGAAAAGCTAACCACATCATCCCTTAGCATGAACCTGAACTAAGTATGAAAGCAAGTATGACTCAAAAGCTTCAGCTCCACAGGCAGGTACTGGTCCTTAGCCAAATCACAGTAAACAACTGTGTCCATGGCTGCTGCTTTGGAGCAAGCCTAAAGTACATGAAAGATACAGTACTAATTTCTAAACCAATGGGTCAGTACCTACAGGTATAAATATTCAGTCCAAGAAAGAAAAGACCAAGAGTTCCCTCAACAAAAAAAAAAAAATCTCTGGTGTCCCTTCTGTGATCGTATTCAGATGAGAAATAACATTGCAACTCGTTAAGACAAATCAAAGGTAAAACCCATCCTCCTCTTTTGAAGGGCAGGAACTATGACTGCAGTTTCCATTGCAGACAATATAACTGCTGTTTGTTGAATCTTAGGTAATTTTCAGTTTGATGAAAAGACACTACAGCAGTGTTTCTTTACTGTTTTTAAAGGCTTTTGCTCCTTTTTAATGTGGACTTGTGTTGAAGTCATCTGAGGGTTATAAAATGGAGCAGAGCTTTTACACATCACCAGAAATCTCGTTAATCATACTACTTTTCTTCAACTTATCAGAAAAATGTACTGAGCAGTCCCTAACTATGTGCACAGATTCGTAAACTCAGGGTTACACCTGAGTTGAGAATCCTTCAGACAGTTTCGCTCTAGTTCAATATTGTTCAGGACAGTCAAATTGGAATGTGAAAAAGCACCACTATCCTCAGCATTACTCCAAGCATCTTCTCAATAACAGCAGCAACCACCGATTTTTAAGGTCTGTATTAAAATTTCTTTAGAGACACAATAAAGCCCATGAGATCAAGGAAAAAATCCTATAGAGCTCTCCAAAACACAGCACAGCACAGGCACAGGACCACTACTTGTGAAATCTTGTGGGGACCCCTGGTGGTTCTTGGTCCTTACTCTCCCTTCTAACACATTTCCAGCTTCAAAGGAGTGAAAAAAACACCAGGTAAACAGGAACACATCCCTTGTCCTCTGTCAGAAGTGACAACCCTTTGGTCACCAGAAACTAAAAAGGCTGGGCACTCCTCTTGGCTTGTGCAACTGTTGAATCCCAGAAGATAAGGGGCTAATGTGTATGTCTCAAACAGTGATAACTGGATGGCTGTGGAGCCAGCCAGGGACTGCTGGTAATAACAGACAATTGTTGGTACTGACATGAGAAATAAGAAGCTTGGCTGGAGAAGGGGCCATGCAGAGCTAGGGCAGCACTCCCTCAGGACAAACATCCTCGGTCTCGTTCTGACAGAGGGGCACAACACAGTACAGCGCAAGCACAGGAATGTGCCCGAGGTGTGGGCACGGACTGTGCAGAGGGATCAACACTATCCCAGACCCCTGAAGCTCTCCAGCCCATTTCCAGAAAGGTCTGAACAAATGGACTGCACACAATGGGTAATTTGCACAGAAAACAAGAAACCTGCCTTCCTGGTGAGAAAACCTATCTATTCATAAGTAACCCCAGCAAGCCCAGGAGTGCCCCCAGGACCTTGGACATCTCATCAGCTGTACTGACGCTGGACTAGTGATCTCTTTTTCTCTCTTCCCTTTCACCCTATCCCTTTATCCAAAACCCAGTGCCATGCACTTACACAGACTAGCACTGCAACTTTCATGCCAAGTGTGTAATGCACTAACAAAACTCTCTGATTGTTTGCAGACTCTCTGACTTTTGTTGTTCCTTTTGACTACGAGCATTTATGAATCTTGAGTGCTTCCTTCCCATTAAGGGAGAGACATCACAGTAGCAGAGTGATAAAGTGACAGATGCAGTAAGTACAGCTATTTAAACCTCAAGGCCAGGAGTGCTGACAACAGACTTACTTTGTTTCCTGCTCGGGATCCTCTCAAGCAACAGTGATAAGAGGTGAGGAGGGACTGATCGGTGATCAACACCTGGCTCTGCTCATGGCTGATCCTTTGCTTGACTGCACAGGAGCCACCTCATTTTTTTAAAAACAGCTCTCCCAACCATTACTGGTGGCCATTGTGGTAATTTTCAAATGATGAAATAAACATAGAAATCTTTTCAGAGAGACCTGTGAACCTCTGATGTTAATAAACAAGACTGTTAATAGCCTGTTCCAGCTTTTTAATAAAAACAGATATTCTAACTAAAGAAGATGGGGAAAAAAAAATCAAAAGGTAGTTAAGATTAACAAATGGCACCAAAGCAAAGGATTTCCTAAATCAAGTGTGTTAGCAGTTCAGAATGCACAGCAAGCTGCCCTTACTTGAATACTCTTCTCTCCAGCTGTAAAACCTAGTTGAAACGTTGGCAAGGGCATTGCCAAAATTAGCTGTATTTCATCAGGGTCTACAAATGGCAGACAAGTTTCTGGCAGGAGTGTCTGGAGAGAAAATTACTGCTCAGTAGAGCTATCAAGTTAAAAACAAAGACTCATGGTGGGTATTTTATGAGGAAAAAAAGAAATTGGGTTCATGAGAGATTTTTAATATTCCAAAAAAAAAAAAAAAATCACCTGTAGTTTACTAAAACACTTTCAACTAACAGACTGCAAAGAAGGTGAGTTATCCTATATGTGTTGTTATATAACCACAGATATGAGGTCAGTTCACTGAGTTCATAGATCAAATTTATTTAAAATAATCCATCCTCTACCTATCCAAAGAAAAGAAACATTCTTCAAAATTTCTTAGGAATAAAAACTGAGATTTTTCTAACTGTGGTAATGGCATAAGCACTTAGTGCACAGATTGTTAGGTCTTCTCAGATGTCTTAGAAGCTTTACTGCCTAAGTTAAAAGAATATTCGTGTCTCAGCACAAAGCAAATGAAAACTGCAAAGTCTGTAAGAGTGACAGTAACACAAAATTGTCTGCAAGACTAGAAGCAAAAACGTCAAATAACAGTTAGAGAAATCTTC